GATGCAGGATGGGGACGAGCACGGAGGGACGTGGGCTGGGGATGCAAGCAGGGGGATGTGTGCTGGGCTTCACATCTTGTAATTACAGAAGTCATCTCATTTTTTCCCCTCCTAAAAAATGTTCTCCCGAATTTCTTGTATCCTAAGCTTCATTAGAAGCCGGCATTAACAGCAGAGAGCTGTTCAACCACCTCCTTTATACCTCTCATTGAAGATAGATGGACTTGCAAAATTTAAACATACCGAATTTTTCAAACTTCCACTTAAAATCCTCCTTCTGCACTGCAGGGGTGGGAAATCCTTCATTACCTGGTGTGATTAATGACCTTTTTCCCTAAATGCAGAATCTCCCTCAGGTTTTGTTGAAGCATCGAGAATTGTCTACTCCGAAGTAACAGTGCCCAGGCTGCTGGAGGCAACGGATGGGACCTTCACAGAGGTCATTTGCTTTTTAGGAAATGTTTTTTAGAACACAGATTCCCCCAGGCCAGACCCTGCCTCTCCCAGGGGCCACGGGTGGGTGCCGAAGGGAGGAGACTGCCAAAAATCAGCCAAAATCAGCCTGTAAATAGTTTTTCCACTGTTGGATTAATTTCTGAGATTAATCAGTGCCTCGTCCGTTCCAGAGCGATATGTCCTATTTAATAACGGCAGAAGGAAAACACCACATCGTCCATCTGAAGCAGGCAAAGTACGGCTCTTCCCCAGTTTTCCTTCCTCTGCTATTTTTTGCACGGAGCCATTATGGGGAATTAATTAACCCACTCCGAGGATTTCTGCTTTGCTTTTCAGGAATTTGATAGCCAAGGACATCCCAGTTTTCACGTACAGTCCAGAAGGATACCTGATAACCGAGTTTCCATATATTCAGGTAAGTTTAGACGTCTGTCAAGGATGCATTGACAGCCAGAACTACACCAGTGGATCTGAGCAAGGGATGGCTTTCTGTTTCTAAAAAAATCCATTATTTTTACAGTTTGTTTAAAAAAAGGAAGGTAATTGTATAGAGACTGATAAACACTGGAAAAACAATTTCAGATTGATCAGCACACTTGATTTCCCTTTCAAATCTTTAAAGTTTTAAAAAATAATTTCACTCCATCAAAAGAGAAATTGAGAAATCAAAAAATACCCCTGAAACTTCATCATTATCCAATGATGAGCTCTCAGGCTCCTGCTTTTTCCCTGCTTACCTTTTATGCCTTCACTTTTTTGGCACATGAAATACCGAAGAGGTGAAGGGTGGATTTGGGGAGGTTTTATGGGTCCCTTTACTCACCTGCGCATGGGAGCTTTTCCCGCAGCCTGAAGCCACGTTTGCACCTTGCAGGACGACTGCTACTACGAGGGGTTTGTGGAAGGCTCCCCGGGATCCATCGTCGTCCTCAGCACGTGCTTTGGGCTCAGGTGAGGCTCTTCCCAGGGGAAACCCGGGGTTTCAGTATCAAATTAATGGAGCTGGGCATTTATCTTCCTTTTTAAAGCAGATGCCCTAACTTCTGCGTGCGACGCTTCCTGCTGCATCCCGCTACTAAAATTCAAATCTTCAAACATAGCTGAGATTTTTTTTTAGCATTACAGATTTTACAGCATCTCCAGTATAGATTTTGAAGGCGGATATTTCATAGAAAAATAGTTTTAAATGAAATTTTTGGCCAAAGAATGTGCTTTATATAGCCTCTAAGCAGGTAGCAGGTTTGACATGCCAAGACAGCTCCAAGACTTACTTTAAAAGATGGTAAATTAAACAAACACTTCTCAAGAAACTTTCCTCTTCAGGCACACTCCACATCTGGGATATATTCATTTCTGATAGTGCAAGCTCTGAACACGAGACAGAAAGACTATCTGTACGGGCATAACAGTCTCCTGCAAATCAGACTTCCCAAAATATGGGTGGTCGCCCATAACCATCACCAACATCCCTCTTGAAGTCCTTCCTGTAGAACTTATTCACTTTATAATATTAGCCAAACAAAAAGGAATACCAGCGTAACCTCTCCTCTGAAGATTAAGAGGATATTTAAATGAACCATGCATAGCTCAGCAGAACTCTTCTTACACTATCCCTCCGCAACGTTATCAAACCCAAACCTTCCATCTTCTCCAGAAATACCAGCCCTGGGGAGCAGAAGCTGCTTTTTTTTTTTAAGAAGTTGTCCTAACTTTGAAAATGTTTGATTTTATTTTGTATTATTTTCACTGGCTTTGGCGGAAGGAAGTTATCCAGCCTTCCATGCAGTCATCCATGACCTAGAGCATCCAGCAGAAATGCCCACGCTCTGCACCAGTGTCAGGCTCCCCACAGCAAGTCTTGGCTTCCTTCTCAGCCTGGATGCAGGGGACTCACAGGGTGGGAAAATGGCAGTTTTTTCCCATTAAAGACCTTCTTGATAAATGCACAACTGCCTTAGCAAAGTCTTCTGGGTTTCCAGCTCAGTGTTTGATGAGGCCACGTTTTCCTATTGTGATACACAAACTAGTAATTATGAACATTTTAGGACTAAATAATTCAAACTCTGGTGAAACTAAGACCCATTGAGCCTCTCTTATAAGACCAGGCACGAGATTGAGATTTGGTAGACCTACCTGCACCTTCTTTCTCAAACATGCACCCCAAAAGGTCTCTGAATTAAGTGAGTTTTTTTAGGATGCAAACTTATTAGCAGATGCAGCCTGTTTAGGTGCAATGTCTATGCAGGGATAAGTAGATCTTAAAGACGGATGCTCCTTGGAAGAGCCGTAGCGCAGAGCTTTTATTGCCTTCTCACTTTCATTTAATATACAGCATTCATCTGCAGCTTCTTTAACTTTTTCCCAAAGCTGCATGATTGCTCTCTCAAGGCTGTCTTATGTATCCTAAACCCTGGGCATGACAGTTTATTTCCATAAAAAGTCTTTTAAGTGAGCTCCTTGTATCTTCTCACTGGATCCCTGCCCACAGGAGCAGTGGTATGAAAGAGCTAAATTTTTCCATATCCCCCCTTCCAAAAAAAAAAAAAACCATAAAATATGGGCTGATCCCAATAGCCCTGAACCCCAGAGGCGGCTCCTGGAGCTTCTACCTGTTGGCGAGATGCACAGGGCTGTCCCGCATGGCCAGCCACACTATGATGAGCACCCTGCACCTTGTTTATTTTTGTATTTACTAAATAATTTAAGAAGTCATTTAGTTCACATCTTTTACTGACTTCTCTGTTTGAAAATTCGCAGTGGAGTTTTGCAAATTGGAGATCTGAGGTACGAAATCGAGCCCATGGAGGGCTCCTCGACGTTTCAACACCTCATTTACCGAAAGACATTGGAAGGTGGCTCAGGTCAGCTGTGCCACGTGCCCGAAGAGCACAAGGACCATCTGCCCGAAGACGGAGAACTTGTGAACGGGAATCATAAAATCAAAGTAAGGAGTCCCCATCCACTCGTGTCGATGTTGCACACTCGTGTGTATACGTACGGGTTATGTTAAATGCTGGGAGTGATCCGACCACAGGGAAAATTGCGCAGGACAGGAGTTTCACACCTGTAAAGCATCTGCAGGTCTGGAAGCAAACAGGATTTCTGTATAGTGACGATGAGCAAAGCACCCTCACACGGTATGGAAACCATACCTACAGCCATGCCTAAGCATCACGCTGTGAAATTATGACCCCGTTTTGTTTCTGGAGGAGTGTTAGGTAGCACTTTGTCAGGTGCAGATCATCCTGCCCTGGGTTTACTTCTCTCTTGAGATCCCTTCCCGCTTGCCAGTTCATCTCACAAACCCTGACAAAAATATTCAGGTCTCAAAAATGGTGGTTGAAACGAAAGTGGAAGTAGCAAACAAGAATTTTTTAAGACAGCAATAAAGAGGGAAACTGATGTGTCTGTCGGCTCCAGAGGTAAAAGCAGCTGAAGGTTTCAATAAACAAATCTGAAATGCTTCATTTTAAAGACAGATAACGTTTCTAAATAAGCTGTGATCAGAAGCCACAGAAGCAATGATTTCAATCGTTACTGACTTTCTATCATAGATAATCTATTGACAATCCAGTATTTTCCAGAAAGGAAAGCGTAGGCTCGTGGACCAGGGTCTGCATCCAGAGCTCTTCCCTCCAGACCCATTTCTTGTAGGGCTGCCCAGCCAAAGAGCCTGGGAAGGACACAGCTTGGTGGGTGGGATGTGCTCCCACGATGTGGGTGCTACCAGCCCCTCTGACAACAGTCTGGAGCTCCATCTCATAGGATCATAGGATGAGCCAGGTTGGAAGGGATCTCAGGAGGTCTCAGGTTCAGCCTCCTCCTCCACACAGGGTCAGCTCTGAGGTCAAACCAGGCTGCGCAGGGCTTTATCCAGTTGGATTTTGAAGACCTCCAAGGACGGAGTCTGCACAACCCCTCTGGACAACGTCCTGCAATGCTTGAATATTCCTTATTAGTGTGTCAGAAATTGATGCTCTGAGGATGCAATTCCCCTTTTCTAGAGAAACCTCTGAAGACCTTCCAGTGCTCTGCCTTCCCCTTACCTCCAGAGGGACCTGGAGGTGCAAGTCTTTGGGGCCATGGCCGGGTGCCTCTCTCCCAGCAGTCACTTTTGCTGAAGTCTTGTGAGCACTGAGTAAGGGGGAAGGTCATGTCACCTGCCTTTACTGATGCTACTCCTGCTCCTTCGTCGTGGTTTAACCCGGCAGACAGCCAAATACCACGCAGCCGCTCGCTTACTCCCCCCGCCAGGGGGGTGGGGAGAGAATCATAGAATCATAGAATCATTAAGGTTGGAAAAGACCTCTAAGATCATCGAGTCCAACCATCAATCACCCCAACACCCCCATGCCCACTAAACCATGTCCCTAAGCGCCTCATCTACACGTCTTTTAAATACTTCCAGGCATGGTGACTCCACCACTTCCCTGGGCAGCCTGTTCCAAGGCCTGACCTGTCTTTAAAATCGGAAGGGTGAGAGTGAGAAAAACTCCTGGATTGAGATAAAGACAGTTTAATAGAACAGAAAAGGGAAAATAATAATAATAAGGATAGAATATACAAAATGAGTGATGCACAATGCAATTGCTCACCACCCGCGCTGACCGATAACCAAGTAGCAATTGCTACTTCCTGGATCACGCCTAGCATTCATATACTGAGCATGACGTCACATGGTATGGAATACTCCATTGGCCAGCTGGGCTGGCTGTCCTGATTATGTTCCCTCCCATCTTGTGTACCTAGCTCAGTCAGCAGGCATGGGAGCTGTCCTTGGACTAGGAGGGCACTTAGCAACAACTGAAAACATCGGTGTGTTATCAACATCCTCCTCATCATAAATCCAAAACACAGCACTAAGAAGAAATTTAACCCTATCCCAGCCGAAACCAGGACATCCTTCATCCTATTTGTTTGCTTTTCTTCTCCCTCATTAAGTAGCAGAATAATTTCGAGTCTTATCACGGTTCATCGTACTTCTCTGGTGGAGTTGTTCGCAAATCTGCCAGCATGCTGTGTTAACCGCAGGCTGCTGGGATAGATGTTGAACAGTTTCTGCTCTGGGTCTGACTCCCTTGGGACTTCATTTAATGCATCTTTACATCTCGGCAATAAAGATCAGCAACTGCTCTCTCTGTGCCTGTAGTTAGTGTTCACTTTATAGTAAGCAAATCTGCAATCTACTGCCCCGGTTTGCTTAAATTACATTTTAAAAAGCCTTAGTGATGTCAAAATGCACATATCTGCTGGTTCTCTTCTGTTCAGAAACACAGTTTCCATGTTATCAAAGGAAATTAATTTGTTCTGACATCACTTGATATTGGATATTACTAATGCGGTTGTTTTCAGAAACATCTTGGTTAGAAAAACGTTTATTTGCTTTGATTTGTGAACGCTTTTAGAGCTTGTAAGGACTTTTGTCATTACTGTTTCTGCTTTCAAAAGAGCTGAGATAGTGTTATTTTTGTACCTACGAGCGTGGATTATTTATAGCAACCGCCTGGCCTATGCCAGCATACTGTGATCGCATTCAGTGAAAGAAATGAAGAGTGACATTCAGAGATGCTGCCTCCTGATAATAATATGAAGCATTTAGATGAAAGAATCACTTATCAGCTCCCATGGTGGAAATATAGTTTTATAAATTGCTACAATTTCGCTGAATTTACTGAGAACCTGCCAGGGAAA